GTTGTCTTCTACTGTGTGTTCCAACTGATACCCCTCCTATAAGCACACAGCAAATGTTTACTAGATACATCTAAAGATTCCCTTCATTTCATTTTTTTTTTTCTATAAGTAGTGGGACTTAGAAGAACATTTGTTTAGTGAAAGCCTCTTGAGCTGAATATGTACAGATCAGTGGTGGGTTTCAAAAATTTTTACTACCAGTTCTGTGGGTGTGGCATGGCTTGGTGGGCGTGGCTTGATGGGCATGGCAGGGGAAGGATACTGTAAAATTTCCATTTCGTCCCGATCAGCTGGGACTTGGGAGGCAGAGAATAGATGGGGGCGGGGTCAGTCAGAATTTTTACTACCAGTTCTCCGAACTACTCAAAATTTCTGCTACCGGTTCTCCAGAACTGGTGAGAACCTGCTGAAACCCACCTTTGGTACAGATCAGTTATTATGTATATATGTATCCATCCATCCATCCATCCATCGATCCATTCATCCATCCATCCATCCAACTTGATAACCTTCTCACAACATCTATGAGTGGTGCCGAGTTCTTTTTACTCATAATCCAGAGTAAAATATAAATTGTGTGTTTGATTTTAAAAACATAAATGAAAAATATGTATCACCCAAACTTTATCGAAGTATATGATTCACACAACATGTCTTAGCACAGTTCAGCCCCTCGGTGCATTTTCTTAACGTAAGTATAGTTTGAAGCAGTGCATTGCTGGTCCTTGTCTTAAAGATCCTGCTTGAGCTATACACATCAAAGGACTCCATGGGTATGTTATACTAAACCAGGTTTCCTCTATTCTGAAAAGCCATAAACAGTAAGTATGGTTGTAGTTCTTATACTGTAAGTCTTGTTGGGAATTTGCATCTTTGGAAGATTTCAGTTTTACAGGATTTAGTGCCATTAAACAATTAACATACAGGACCTTGAAGGAGATACAAAAGGTAAAATGGATTATCCTTGCAGCTCCAAACTTTTTTGTAGTTTACAGAGAGTTACTGGCATCTGAATTTAAATTACAAAAATGAACAAAAATGAAACTACATTGTGAATTATATGAGCCATCTTTTTTAACACAGCTCTTTTCCAAGTTTTAAAAACTCTTTTATGGTTTTTAAAAAGAGATGGACCATTAGCAGTCTTCTTGTACTCCTATTATACATAATGGTACCTATCATTATCTTCATTTTACCTCTAATTTTATCTGATTCTGATCTCTTATAAATGTTGAGTGATGGTATCACCAAATGTCATTTTGGCATCACTGTGATTTGCCTTGGGTCCTACTGCAAAATATAAATGCATAAAAGGAAAAATCTGGGCATATGAAGCTAGGTGAAAGACAAAATAGTACCCAAGTCCCTTGTGTTTTTCATAGTCAAAATAGACAACTAACAACAGATAATACTGAAATTTTGTACTAATGCAATTTGAGGCCTCAAACAAAAAGCATCCCTTCTCCCCATTAGTGCAGCTATAATTACTTTCATGGAAGCAAAATATGTTTTGGAGAAACTACTAAGAAAGTATTATTAGATTAAATTAAGAGATTTTAGCTTTCTTTCATTTGTAATTCTGAACTAAGAAGGAAAGTTATCTTATTAAGATTGAAGGAATACAGAACTATCTCTTGCCTCCAGGCAGTAAATATTATATGCCTTTAAAAAATGACAAAAGCTACTAGCTTGCTGGTTTTGCTAAACTACAGGTCTGTGCAAGTCAATCCAAGAAATGTTTCTAACATGAGAACAACTGACATTACACACATTTGTATTTTATTGTTACCTTGAACAAATGATTTGATCCACTATATTACTTGGCTACAAAGTTCTCACTATTGCTCGTCTTCGGGTATTGTGATACGATGAGAAAAGAGAAGAAAACTAAACTATGTAGGTCTGAGATTGAAAGGTTTTATATAGAACCAAGAAAATGCAGATTAATACATTTGTTGTTATTAGTTGCGAAGTCGTGTCCAATTCATTGTGACCCCATGGACAACGTTCCTCCAGGCCTTCCTGTCCTCTACTGTCCCCTGGAATCCATTTAAGCTCACGCCAACTGCTTCAGTGACTCCATCCAGCCACCTCATTCTCTGTTGTCCCCTTCTTCTTTCGCCCTCAATCATTCCCAGCATTAGGCTCTTCTCCAGTGAGTCCTTCCTTCTCATTAGGTGGCCAAAGTATTTGAGTTTCATCTTCAGGATCTGGCCTTCTAAAGAGCAGTCAGGGTTGATCTCCTCTAGGACTGACTGGTTTGATCGCCTTGCAATCCAAGGGATTCGCGGGAGTCTTCTCCAGCACCATAGTTCAAAGGCCTCAATTCTTTGGCGCTCAGCCTTCCTTACAGTCCAAATTTCACAGCCATACATTGCAACTGGGAAAACCATAGCCTTGACTATACGCACTTTTGTTGGCAGGGTGATATCTCTGCTTTTTAGTATGCTGTCTAGGTTTGCCATAACTTTCCTCCCCAGGAGCAAATGTCTTTTAATTTCTTGACTGTAGTCTCCATCTGTGGTGATCTTGGAGCCCAGGAAAATAAAATCTGTCACTACCTCCATTTCTTCCCCATTTATTTGCCAGGAATTGATCGGGCCGGATGACATGATCTTTGTTACGACCCCGGCCCCAGAGGCTGATTTATCTTCGCATGCTGAGTCGGAGGATGATATGGAGGAGGAGGAAGCTGTCACGAGCTATGTGCCGGAGGGGCCGTCTTCACTGGTGAGTCAGCAAGAACTGACAGTTGATGACATGCCTCTGGACCCCAGCCAAAGTGAGGAAGAATCAGAGGCCGGTAACAAGGAGGGGGAGCCCTTGTTGGATGCAAGAGAGAGACATAGGAGACGTCGTAGAGAACAGCTATTGCCACGTCCTGAGAGGTATGGTCGGGAGATGTAGGGCCACACCCTACAAAGTATAAAAGGGGTGTGACTGGGCTGGAAAGGCGTGGTGAACAATTTGTTGGCGTTTTGGATGTAGTGGATTTACAACTGTTAGTCTGGAGTTTTTTGACAAGAGTCTGCATTCCTGCAGTAGCTTGCTGGCCGTCTGCCAAGACCTTTGGAACTTTGCCCCGTAACTATTGGGCTGATAAACGCTTTGGAAGAGAACTATTTATTAAAGGGCCAACTTCAGTCTATCTAGTCTGCGTTTGTTACTGCCGGGCTATTTAAGCCTCTGCAAGGCCACTCGTGGGAGGGGACAGAACAATCTTAGTTTTCTTAATGTTGAGTTTCACGCCAACTTTTGCACTCTCCTCCTTTACCCGCATCAAGAGGCTCTTTAGTTCCTCTTCAATTTCTGCTATTAGAGTGGTATCATTTGCATATCTGAGGTTGTTGATATTTCTCCTGGCAATCTTAATTCCAACTTGTGATTCATCTAGCCCTGCCTTTCTCATGATGTGCTCTGCATATAAGTTAAATAAGCAGGGCGACAATATAAAGCCCTGCCAAACTCCTTTCTCAATTTTGAACCAATCAGTGGTTCCATAGATTAAGACATATTGCAATACAAACAGGGAAGGAAGGGAAAGGAAGGCCACAAATTTAGTGGAGTTGGGTAGTATGGGCTCAAACAGCTTTTCATAATTAAAAAAACTGAACATTCCATTTTGGCCATGAAGAAATAGGAAATTCAAGAACAGTTGGGAAAAGGCAGCTTGTAAGCCTTAATTTACTTCTAAAGGGACTTGCAATCTTTTAATGATCAACTCACCAGAAATCCAAACACTAATCCTATCCCCAGATAACACAGCTTTTACTTATTTTCAAAAACACATTAAAGATGCAGCCAATTGTGATAATTTATTAACAATGCAGGAGTATGGTAAATCTTGGTTCTTTTTCCCACACTAAAGGTTGTTGGTACTGAGCAGCCAAAATTGGTATCATAAATCCTAAGGATAGTAAATAAATAGACTACTTGAAGGAAGGCCTCTAATTCTTCACGCAGGGTGTTAAGAGATTTCCTAATCCGTTACTTACATTCTTAAATTCTAGAGACATATTTTTAAAATAAAAGTTTACATCTAAATATTCTTAGAAGGCTATTCTTTCCATTTGTATCTTTGAAACAGAATGAATAAAATTAGCCTGCTTAAATTCCTAAAAGCTGCCAAGCAATTTGCAACAATTTGAGGTCAATTTTCATTAACAGCTGTTCCAGTCTAGGACTCATCTTTCTGCATATTACTTGTTAGGAATACTATTTGTATGAAACAATAATATTTTAAAGCAGGGACTATCAATTTCTGGGTTTCCAGAATCTGCTGAGCCACTAATTTTGGCATTCTTCACCACTGATCATGCTGGCTAAGATTGCTTGGCATTGTAGATCAGCAAATTTTAGAATGCCACAGGATATCTAATCCTATCTTTTAGTACATAGGTCAGCTAAAGTCTAGCCCATTGCATCATAACACTTTCCTCATTCTGGAAAATTTGCTGAAATGATAATTCCCTAGATGTCTGAGGATGATAACTAATAATATCCCTGGCCAGCATTCCTGATCATTCAGGGAGCCATATATATACATACTTAAGACTATTCATTGAGTGACTATTCAAAGTTACAATGGGCTGAAAAATGTAATTTATGATTTATGACTGTTGCAGAGTCCCTATTGTTACATGTTTATGATCTAAGCACTTGACAACTGCCTTAAATTTACAATGGTTGCAATATCACAGGGTGACACAATCACCATTTGCAACTTCCTAGCAGGTTTCCAATAATCAAATTCAATGGAGACAAAAAAAAGTTGAAAAATCAGACATGATCACATGATGGCTCACTTAATGACTGCATTCTTTGTCAGAGGTTTTGGTCCCAATTGTCATCATAAATCAAGGATTAGCTATACTGTGGCTGAAGAGCAATAGGCTGTAGATCATTGCCTGATGGGCATTAAGCTTTTAACAAGTTTAGCATCGTAGTGAGACGAAAGAACATTTTGACTTTTTTCCAGGATTGGTATGCAAGTAACTTACCTGAGCTACTTGATGGTAAATACCAAGGGCAGCTCATATTCACATAGGTGCCAGGAATACCATCAGGCCAGCAGACATAGTTGTCAAAAGTCCTGTTGCAAAACTTGCCTTCTATGAATACAGAATAATTTAGAAGTCAGCAGAGGAAAACAACAACAAATAACATTGTATTATATATATTACTTTAATTATTTGACTTTAGAAAAGATATTTCCAGCCTGCTTTTTTTATCATTAAATACAATTTCAAAGCAGCAAATTGAATTTTAGAAGGAAACATTTAAGATTTAATCTTACAATTAAACCTCAACATTCAACAGCTCAAATCCTCAATTAGATTTTTAAAAAGCCAGTCTAGAATTGCAGATAATGGCAATGGTGCACTTTTTTGCCCTTTTCCCCTAAACCTTTCTCAGAGATTTCCCCTAAACCTTTCTCAGAGATTTTGTTCTCAACATTTATAGACCTATTATCAATCATAAATTACTTAATTGTAAATAGGAAGTATATACTGCACAAATTGTTGCAATATTCTTTACAGCACAGCTGACAAAAAACTTCAAACTATGTATATATTTATATGTTCAGAGTGAATCTTAAGAACTGAACCAAATATTGGTCCTAGGTTGACTATTTTACTGACAAAGTGAAAATTACACTATTAGATTTAGGTATTCTTAATTAAAATCAGACACTGTCAATCATTTAATAAAGAATATTGCACTAATAAAAGTCTCTATATCAAGGACTGAAAAGTGGCTAGTGTCCGTGTGTGCATATTGTATATACATAAAATTTTCAGGAAATTCAGTAAATCACAATTCTTTTGGTTTCAGCTGACAAACAGAAACCACATGATAATGACTTAAATAAATAAGACTATAGGTATGGTCAAGAAAGCAACTGCTTTCATTGTGACCACCTAGATATCTTCCACTTTGTCTTGCTTACAACACCTGGCATTGTCTTACTGGTCTATCAAAGTATTCAGAGACTTCATGTGTTTGTCCTAGACAGAGATCTTTTGTCATGTTGTTTTTAGTTGTAAATGATATGCATTGATACACTGCACAAATTCCCACTCAAAAGACCATCCTACAATAGGATTTATTAAACTATGACAGTTACAGTATTAGCTGCTCAAAATGATAAAGTGAAATTAATTCCATCTGGCTATTATTATTACAAGTAGGGGTAATTCTCCATGGCTGTTACTGGCAGTGCAACTCTGAGAGGGAGCAATGAAAAAAAAATGGTTCAGAATCAGATCTAAAAAATTGTGATTTGATTAAATTCAGACATACAACCAAATGTTATAGTGATGAAGGCTTTCCTAAACATAAACTAGGCTGTTGTTTCTAATGCTTTTATAGCTAAAATACCTTTTATAGCTAAAAACCCCAATATTTTGCGATACAACAAAATATGCTTTTAAAGATGTTCAATGGTAGTTGTGAGTGTACAAATTGATTCTTGTTTGAAGTTTGAACATTATTAGAGGTTTGAACCTTATTAAGACTCTGCTTTTTTAGAAGTTTGAACCGTATTAAAACTCTGCTTTTGGAGTCTTTGGCAACATTTTTAGACAATATTCTGTAGCTCCCCAAAGTTGATTGATATTTATTTTATTTTACTTTATTTATCAAGAACGTATTAAGTAATAAGTATAAACATGGATTGGAGACGTAAAATAGATACAAAAAGAGGAAACATTAGGACAGGGATGGTAGGCATGCTGGTGCTCTTATGCACGCCCCTTACAGACCTCTTAGGAATGGGGTGAGGTCAACAGTAGACAGTCTAAGGTTAAAGTTTTGGGGGTTTTGGGATAAAACCACAGAGTCAGGTAGTGCTTTCCTGGCACTGACCACTCTGTTGCTGAAGTCATATTTTCTGCAATCGAGTTTGGAGCGGTTCACTTTAAGTTTGTATCTATTGTGTGCTCATGTATTGTTGTGGTTGAAGCTGAAGTAGTCACTGACAGGTAGGACATTGTAACAGATAATTTTATGAGCTATACCTAGGTCATACCGAAGGCAATGTAGTTCTAAGTTTTCTAAGTACAGAATTTCAAGTCTGGTGACATAAGGTATTTTGTTGCATGCAGAGGAGTGGAGGACTCTTCTTGCGAAATATTTCTGGACACGTTCAATTGTATTAATGTCCAATATGTAGTGCGGTTCCAGACAGATGAGCTGTATTCGAGAATTGGTCCAGCAAATGTTTTGTATGCTGTGGTTAGTAGTGTGATATTACCGAAGAAAAAACTATGCAAGATTAGGTTTACAACTCTTAATGTCTTTTTGGTGATGTTGTTACAGTGGGCTTTGGCACTTTTAGATATGAGTACTCCAAGGTCCTTGACAGAGTGAGGGTCATCTATAAGGTCATGTCCACTCATCTTTTATTTTGTGTTCTGGTTTTTTTTTTGGTTTTTTTTGCCAAACATTTTTTGATATATTTGTGGTTTCCATATATTAAATTTAAGAAGCCCTACCTGCCACAAGAGGGGGTGTTTCTTGCAGATACTTTAAACACTGAAGCCGATATTCTTCCCAATTCTGCTTTAGGGAGGGAAATGAAGAATACGGTTTCTGAAAAGAAAGAAAATGAGTCAGTTAAATCCGATTGTCCATTATTTTACCATAATATTAAAGCAACTATTTATCATGTGATTATCTCCTCAAATTCACAACTGGAAATTATGAACTAGTACAGAGACAATTAGTAATTAATGTTCAACAAAATATTAAACTTGGCTAGATTTTGCTATAGTAATCTTTGCTATGCTACACCTTTCTAACTGTAAAACAGGGAATGATTCTAACAATCATTCTTAAGTTTGCTTATTGATAGCCAGCTCCAAATTAATTATTCATGACTTGTTCATTCATGCATTGTTTTGTTGGCATCTGACATGATTTATTATAATTATACACTGACTCCAATATGCAGGGGCTTCAATCTTCTTTAATGAACAGACTATCCTTTCAAAATTACAAAAATGCTAGATATGTTTGACAGTGACTCACAATACAGACACTAACTGAAAGATTAGTTCACACTTGTTGAGTGTGATGAGAGCTCTGTATGGTGAAATTAAAACATGTGTTGAAAATAAATGGAATGCTTAGCAAATGGTTCAACAATGAGTAGAACAATTATATGAGGATGTATGATGTCTTTTCCTTTGTTTATTTGTAGACAAAAGAATATGGAAAGCTGATGGTAATCCTAGCTGTATGTAGGTTGGGGACATAAATGTGTATGTACTTTAGTACACATATGATACCATGGGTAGAGATAGAACATACCTACCAAAAATGTTTCTGGAGCAGTGAATTTGGATACTGAATTTGGACAAACAAAATGTGGAATAATCTCATAAACATTTGGCCCTTATAGAATGTGCTAGTTCTTATCATTATGACAAACATGACCTGTATGTTATTTGAAAATAAGTAGGTTGAGACATAGAATGAAGTTTAAAAAGACATGTTAAAATGGGAGAAACTATAGCTTTCATTTCTGGGGAGAATTTTTATGATAAAAAGAAATTTCTTGCCTCAAATGTCTAGGAAAACACGTCTCAGACAAAACTTGTTTGATAACTTATATACCATTTTAAACAGTGGCAGAAGAACATTTTTAGATTTGTATGGGGGGGACAGGGACCAAGAGTTAAATGGGGGCATAGTTATCAATGGTTCTCTTATTTACAATTATTAGAATGATTTAAAGTGGACAAAGTGTTCTTGGTTTTGAACACTGTGAGACAGAGTTTGAAATAGTATTACATACAAACAATGAACATGTATTATAGACATTTAAAATAGAAGAACAAGTGAAATAATGTATGATAAAGTAGGCTAAAGTATTTTGGTCATAATGTACAGTTGGGACAAAGGGAAAATACATGGTTGAAAGGACTGAAATTTGGGCTTTTTATAATCTTAAAAGAGGATTTTTATAAAATAATGTATCTATACTGTATATATCACTAGACAAACTCTAGAATGTATAAAGGCAATTCAAGTTTCTACTTGATATGTGAAGGACAAGAAGGGACATTTTATTATGTTTGGTGGTTATATAGAAAGGTAAAAAATTCTGGATTCAAAGTAATACACTGATGCAGTGGATTTTAAAGATTAATAAATAACTGAGATCAGAGGTTCTTCTTTTGGGGTTGATGGACAAACCATTGGGAAAAAAGTCATGAAACTTTGTTTTTGTATATGGTTATCTGTAGGAAGATTATGGGAAGATTCAGTGCCATCCACAGTGGAGGAATGGTTGAGTAAAGATAATAACATTTTCTAAGATTACTAAATTTACTTAATTGATAAAAGATAATTATTGCTGACTGGAAATCCTGCATGGATTTTTTGTGTAAAACAGAACAAAAATGAACCCATGATTTATAGTTTTGAGACTGAACAAGATAGATTACATCAAGAAGACAAGTTGTAACCGTAGAGTAAGGCTTCCAAACTGACACCATTTCACAGCGATTCGTAAAGTGAGAAAGCATTAGTTTTGACTCAATTTTATTAAGTATTTTGCAGCACAAAGAATACATAACTATGATATTATCTGAAAATGGGAACATCATTTTAATAGAAATTAATCTGATTGCAATTTTTTTACTAGCATAACAAATGATAACTTGTTACATTTTTCCGTCTTTTCATCACATACCTTCTAAAACAAAGTTCTACATGATAAAACATGATAATGAACTGTAAAATTTTACAATCCTTTAAATAACTAATGACCCATCTAAACTATCTTCCTTGTACTCAGGATAGTTTGGGCAGCATGCTTAAAAAAAAGTAATAAAGCCATCAGCAGAAACCTAATTATGCAGAATCTACCACTAAACTGCTGATATATCTCCTGACCAGAGTTATTGATACAAGTCTATATCCCCAAGCAGAAGATTAATAGCTCTTGTAGTTGTATCCTGATTGCATGAATTTAGGGGAAGAGGGTTGCCGTGATTTTGCATATCCATGCTTTATTTCTAGCAAAAAAAGTAGAAGAGAGATATAAAAAATACAACATATACCGTATTTTTCAGAATATAAGATACACTTTTTCCCTCCTAAAAGAGGGTGAAAATTATACACCAAATGTAGCCCCGCCCACCTGCTGGCCCCCACCCTTTGGTCTCTGCCTCCCAGCAATTTACCTCCTTGCAGCAAGCAGCAAACAGCCTGTTTTAGCTTCAGCACAGTCTGATTAGCACAAGCAGTTGATTGTCGGTTGGATCGGCCTCCCAACCCTCAGCTGCACGGATTGCCATTGCCTATTACTGCACGGGCCTTCACTGTTTGCTGCTAATTGCTAGGAGGCAGATTTTTTTTTCTTGTGCTAATCAGACTGTGCTGAAAATGAAACTAAAGCAGGCTGTTTACTATTTGCTGCAAGGAGGCAAATTGCTGGGAGGCAGATGCAGAGGCAGATTTTTTTTCTTGTTTTCCTCCCCAAAAAAGGTAGATGCATCTTATAGTCTGGAGCGTACTTATACTCTGAAAAATATGGTAGTTTCCACAATTTAATTGAAAAAGTTACATTCACATGTCATACATCACGTATAAATATAGAAAATGGTGGTTGGCCACTATCCAAGCTGACACCAGCCAGAGCATAGAGCAGCTCAAATAATTAATGCAAGTTTGAAAGATGTGGAGAGACCTGGACCATAGAATTGTCAAGAGTCGGACACAACTGGACGGATAACATCATCATCATACCTGGTAATTCCCTCTCTCTGTGGGATAACAAAACAGAGAGAAAGTCTGCCAATCTTATGAAATTTCTTTCTTATGAAATGCGAATGAACACTTTCTTAATAGCATTTTCTAAATGAGATCAATATCTTTTGTTACCTTGAAGATGGTTATTGTAAAATGGTTAATAGACAAGCCCAAAGGACTTGTTCTGAATATTTTTGAAGCGCACACAGGGTTACTATTTGTATTTTGAATATACTTAATAGTTGCAAGAATGTAGTTGTGGTTAGCTAAGCAGTACTGGATAGCAGTTCTTTAGAACAGAGATTTCTAAATTATTTCCCTCAAAATGTCAGATTGATCCATCTGTTTTCAGATCACATATTTAAGCACAGTATTTTATATGTCACAACGGAGCAAAAATTCACTGTCTGCTGTAGTTGGGCTTCTCCAGTTTTTGGATTTAATCAACTGTTCTACTGTTTGTACTTTTTACATATGTTTACCGCTTGCTTACAATTTATTATTAGCTGCATGAAGATCTACATGAATGAAAGTCAGGGTAAATATTTTAATAAATGGCATTCACCTTTGTTTATGAAAAATGTTAACATTTAGATCTTTTCAATTACTCTAAAATTCAATTCTACCCAGGTTCATCCTAACTGCATTTATTCTACTACTGTACTCTATAAGGATTTATTCTAGTTTAAATATGTATAAAATTTCATGACTGACTGCAGACTGTAGTGCCTTCTTTAATTTGGAAGGACTACTTTCAACAATTTTAGCCCTGCTCAACTCACTGAGAGTTTTATAGTGCTTCCTTTTATATTCCAGAAACATATTTTTAAATGTTCTACATACACTGTACATTAGAAATGTACATCACTTACCTCTTTGTTTACTAATGTGGCTAATTAAGCACTGAAACCAAGACCACTGCCCTCCACAGAAGTTAGGTTATTGTAAAAAGTGTGAATGTGAACACTGCTTTCTGCTATGCATTTCTGTATTTCTCTGCATGTAACTGAAAAAAGAAGCAACTGAAAAGCCACCCTTGCTCAGCCTTCACATACATGGAAAAGGTATCGGGGGGGGGGGGGGGGGGGAGGAAGGAACTGTTTTTGTGTAACAAACAAGCCAATGTTATTATAAGCCATTATGATCAATTACAAAGATGCTCTCAGAGAATCATAAAGGCAATTCAACCTATGTACTTGTTACACAACATGCACATTTATTAACTGCCTTTATTTGTATAGTTTTTCAATAATAATTACTCTTTGTCTTTATAATGCAAAGCTCCCTGATGTGAGTCTAATCCTTGGCAGTATAGTTCCTGCTGAAACCTGAATTGCAACTCTGGATCCGATTTAGGAATTAAAATTGGGAACAAGCAGATTTACCTCCAGTAATTTGTGGGAATATTTAGATTTTTTAAAAAATAAAATGTAATAATGTTACATTTATCCTGGCATGGATATAACTGTTGAAGCATTTTATAGGATGATTCTTTTATGAATAATGATAACTATAGTTTCGCATTATATTTAAGCTACTACTAGATGGAATTGGTTTTAAGGGATTATAATATCTGAAGCAAACACCAGCTTCAAAATAATTGTTCCACAGTGATGCAAGAGAGGTAATTAAAGATAAACAAAATAGGGAACAGACGAAATGGCTTCTAAAAAAATATATCTTACAAGATTATGGCATGTAACATATGGGTTTAGACACAGAAATTTCCATCATTAAAAATGGCAGATTGGAAAGCAGTGAGATACACCAAGCAATACCCTGGGTCAAAGTTTTCAACACTTTAGTTAATGACTTGGGTGAAAGGGCTGAGG